GATTTTCGAAAAATAAAAAATAAAATGGATTTTTCCTACCCGTGATTATTTCCCCTTCAGGACCCTTTTTGCATTGTGAGAAGTTAAAATGTGCGAACCATTCATCAGGCGAACTTCATTTTAGAATATTTCAACCGCATTGACTCAAACGCCTTTCTTGCGACCGGTTTATATTGCGGAACCCCTGTTGCTTATGTTTAGCCAGTTTTTTTTTTATAGTTCCGAAAAAAGAAATTTTTTTCCTAACCAAGTACTGCACTGTGTACGTAATTTGAGTTGTAGACATAAGCGTAGGTCCTCGCCTTTTCTTTGCCAAGCCTTCGTATTCATGTTACATCTGATCCAACTTTTATTTCCCCGGAACAGCCGCGGAGTCCCTCGGAAGTTCGGAGTCCATGGGCCATCATGGAGCGCAGGTTCAGAACCTTCGCTATATACCATATTCTGTTCGGATTATTGAAAGCTTCAGCGCTTTCCTCCGACATCTTCAGTCGATTGTGAGAAAATTCAAGTGGAAATGTGGGATTCACTCGTGCTCAATTATTTGCATGCGCTTCGTCGGCGTATTTGTATCATCTAGAATACATGACGACACTTCTCGTTGAATTTTTTCCATAACGAAGTGACGTAGAGGCGAGTTGTTTTTCCTCGAAGTTCCGTCACGTATGGTTGGATTTCGGGAAACCTCTGGAATTTTAGATGTTTTTCGTGACAGGAATGGGAACAGAAAAACTCACCGAAGTTAGGATTCCATCCTCTGAATATTTCGATTTTCGAGACGTTCAAAAATTATACATTTATCCTGTTCAAAAATAATGTGCAGCATATTTCTTCGGAGATAAATTTTCAACCTCTGTTTTACTCTGCACGTCCGTGTACTTCTGGAAAATTAAATAGTTATAGAATTTTTCTATGAAATGTAATATCAAATGTACGCATGAAGCCCAGGGAACAATGTTTTCCATGTAACTCGACATAATAGAGAAAATAGGCTTCAATTTTTGGGAGCCCGAAAAATAATTTGGAGGGTAAAACGTGAGTCCTCAGGGCTCCATCGTAGAAAGTGTGATAAGGTCATATTGAAGCAACGAAGTTGCTAAATTGTTCTTTGAATGCCGCGTTAAAAAAATGGCGGTATCTTCTCGCACATTCTGGGTGATTTTCAAGATGAAGTTACTCATAATCCGTTGGGTGTTGTATCAGGGAATTTGTGCATTAATAACAACGCCCGTGTCAGCCGCAGGGTGGCGGCTGTCATTACCCGCTGTTCGAGAATGAGTGATCTTGAATTATGGAAAATAATGAGGCCGTATCTCGTAATTTGCATTTATTCGCGTGAATAGTCATGCCGTTTTGTTCCGGTTCAGCTGCCCGTGTTACCTCTCGCGGTATCGGGCCATGAAATTCTGAACATCGCGGAAAAGCTGACGACTCGACGAGGTTCTCAATCAGAAAGGAATAAATGTTGCACGAACTTGCACATTGAAAGCTGGAACTGTACTTTGGGGTATGGCCAAATTCGAGGACTTCATTTCACGTAGAAATAAGTCGTCAAGTGGTGCTCAGGCTTTCCTCCTACTGTAATTAACAGTCGAACACATTAATCAATAATTATATTGTTATTTTTGGCGGGTTTGGACAATAATTCCACTGGATACAGGATCCGGTGATTCACGTTGCTATAATACACCATTAAAACGGAAATACGATATTTCGGGGAGTTATGAACTTGTAAATTAATCATGACACATGTGTCGAAGGAAGGTGGACAGTCGGTTGGAATGTAGGCATCCGGGGATCATCGAAACAACGCATATTTAGAGCATGGAAGAGAAGCAACTTTTTTGTGTCACTTCCAGAGCATATACTGTAGTGCATAGCTTCTCAGTGTGATGGATTTTGTCCTGATGTAAAAACAGTTGTGAGACAAGGATTGCTCTCCTGAGGATATCATAATTCCCATATTCTTTCTGTTTTAAAGACATGAGGAGGATGTCACTAATAGAGAGTAATTTCCCAGACGCTAACAAAAATTCTTTGTCCCGGAAAGGCAGATACGAGTATTTTTCCTTTTCCTCTTACAGGCCTCTGACAAGAAGATGAGGAAATGTGAACTAAAGTTGAAATTCAGAGGATTTGAAATACGATCTGCGAAATATATGCAATAAATTGTGTTTTAGTGATTATAAAGGAAGAAGTCTTCCTTTATAATCAATAAAACGTAATTATGTAATAAAATAATAATCATAATAATAATATAATAATGAAATAATAATAATATAATAATGAAATAATAATAATAATGATATAATAATGAAATAATAATAATAATATAATAATACTGTAATAATAATATAATAATAATGTGATATAATTTAACACATGGTACCATGTGTAAAATTACATACGGTAGTTTTGGAGCACGAAAACATTAATCTCAATACAAGTAGAAGGCGTTCGCAAGTAGACCTTTAAACTACGCTGACGAATGGTATTTTAACGATGGGCTCCTCGGAAAAAAAAAAATTTAGGAGGTGATCATCAGGTCGAAAAAATTGTCCCGACATTAAATTGGGCTCAGAAATTTTTGGAATTCCTGGGTTCGGTGCGAAACTTTGCAAATCCTTCTCCACGGCCGAAATGGACGTTCCAAGGAGGAAAATAACGTCCACTTCGCGAAAGACGGCGGTATTCTGAGTCTGTTGCGAGTTCGATTTCACCTCAAGCTGCCGATTTTCCCATAAAAGTACCGCAATGTCGCGACATTAACAATAACCAGTAAAAACGGGAATGTGCGTCATTGCTGCCCGATGTTATTTGAGATTACGACGGGCATTCGAAGAATGGCTTGGGGAGTTGTGTACCTAGCTCCGTTCGCTATGTCGTTGGTTCCTGCTGTTTCTTTTTAGGTTATGTGTTGTCCCGTTGCTGCTGATACATTTTCATTGCCCTTCTCTGTACTGGTTGATTAATGAAGACAGCATCCTGGGACTCTGCGGTAGAAAAAAAAGAATGAGCTTTGTCTGGGTAAAACGAGTGATTTCATTTTCTAGGTGACGCCTACGTCTTCCAGGTGGTGTTGTACAAAATTCCAGTTCTTAGACTCCCCACAATGAAAGTAAGTTTTGCGCCGAATTTTTGCGCTGCACCAAATAAATTATGGAAACGGAACTTGTTTTTTCAGATACTTCGGTCTGAAGTTGTTCGAAGTTCGAGTTGGCTTTGTGAAATGCGTGAGATTAATCCCAATAAAAAAAGTGAAGCCAGAATCTGAACTTTTGACGTCTCGGGAGCATTTTTTAAAAATGGAAAATGTGTGTTGGGGTATGCAGTATTTGTTCTCGTGCAGTAGCGGAAAGAATCCCGCGAAGGTCTAACTGAAAATACCATCATGTGTACCCTGCTTTATTCGGCCTAATGTGTACTGTATTGCCAATATCACAGTTTCATTTAAAGATAAATGAACCGTCGCGATGAATATCGTGTTCGCGGAGCTGTTTATGGAGGGTCTGTTGCGTCTAAAATCAAGGCGTTGTATGTACCCTATATTGCTATACTGTGTACGCATCTTCATGCAGGTGTTCTACCTTTATTCTCATTAGACTGTTTGAGAGGCAAAAGAGAAACTGAAGGGGCTTTCTTGTACCAGCTAGCTGTTTTTTGGAATTTGAGGCAGCAGTCGTCTGAGGAAACGGCTAATATTATCTCGTTTAAAAGTAAATTCACTCATCCTTTCCGATCACTATGAAAACTTTTAAAGGATATGATTCCCGTCAGGTAACCAATTCTGAATGTCATGTCTTTGAGAGGAAATGAATAACGTTAAAAAAATGTGATTGTTTGTTTCTTGTAAGCACAGTACCGCGAACGTGGTTTGGTTTTTGGTTCAAGAGTTTGCGAACTATTCTGAAAAAAAAAATCGATTTTCGTTCTCAAAAACACTTTCAATCGACGCGTATACTCCGCCAAGTACGATAACTTGACTATAGTGTGTATCATTAAAGCAATAATCTGGAATAATTTGATTGTGGTATGTAAAAGGGTTTTTTTTTCGATTGCCGGGGATTGTAGGGGAAAAGCCAAAACTTAATGCTGGTACGTCTTCGGTTCGTGTCATTTTTGTGAAAATAACTCGGAGTACGTCATTCACGACACCTTTGTGGTGTTACTGGTTTTTTTTCTTTAAGGAAGCCGGCCAAGTGTGTCAATTCAGACAAGCTCGAAACCTGTTTTCTGTCGTGTGGTTAGAACTCCGTCACGCGCAGCATCATTCTTGCAATGCTTTTAGGTAGAAATGTAGCACGTTTTGATCACTATTTGTTGCTTTATGCCACTAAACGTTATGTTTGTCGACTTTGTTACAATCATTCAACATTGTACTGTACTTGATGTTTTCCGAAGAGATAAATCTTGAGAGACGTTCCACGAATATTTCATTATTTTTCCTTAATAAGAATGTGTCATGTCTTCCCGAATGGTTCATTCGATTGGGCTGTATTCATTCGAACAAAGAAGTGCATCGATTATGCGGAAAAACTTTTTATTTCGAGTTCTTCGTGATAAAAAGCCATGTTGACTGCAAATGTAAGAAACGCTTCCATTCTATTACAGTACTTCAGAATCGGAGCAGTATTTTGATCACTCATCGGTGTTCCTGGTTTTTTACTCTTGGCCACACTTGGCGAATGTATTCATTACATTTTCGAATCAATTCACATTCAAAATTTTATGTTGCACATCAGATTGAATCACTTAAATCCAGGACGCCGTAAAATATAAGGCGTGAATTTAATTTTTCTGGCAATTTTTCGACCACTTCGTATATTTGAGTAAATACGGATGTTTTCAAGCAAGCCGTTTATACTTCGTTCAAAATATCGCAGAATTGCGGTCAAGTTCGGTTCAGGGCGCTAATAGGCAAGAATATCCAAGTTCCTACGCGTAAAAATCATGCTCGGCCATTTTATTCAAGTATGCAAGTAGTGTATCCCATTCTAATTATGTTGCTGAACTTGGATGTGTATGAACGCCGTGGGGAACTCTCATACAGACCTCACGCCAGGCGTCCTTTCTGGCTGAAATTCGGGACTTTCCGTATCCTACTTTTATTGCTCTGGCGAATGTACGCTGCCGTGCAAGCTGGAAAATCTGCTCGGCTTATTACACTCGCTATACCCGTAGTGTGCGTATTGCGCGGTATGTCTTCTTTTGCAGCACGTTTCTGAGTTTTGCCAGACTGCCCGTGTTCCCCTATTTACGGAATGCGAAGTGCAGCAGCTGCGTTCGCGCGCACGACCGTTTTTGCCATTTCCGTCGCGCTCTGTAACTACAATACTTCAAACTCTTTCGATCCCTCCGCGCGATACTATTTATATTTCTCCATTTATTTATCCCGCTTTGACGCTTCCCGCAGGTGTCGTGATGGAGCAGCAGCCGTACAACAATATGGGATCTGACGGGGAATCCGAAGATGTATCGGGAACGTCGGACGAGATGTTCTCCCCGCTGCCGATGAACAATGTCAAGCTACGGCAGAAAAACCGTTCCTATAGCAAGGTGAGTTTGTTTGAGGGTTTTCCCGGGGGTATCGTGACGCAGCTGCTTGCGATACGCTGTTCTCCTGCCGTCGTGATTGCTGGAAAGCTTTTTTCTCTATCTCACGATTGCGTTCCGCAATGTTTATTTTTTATTTGTCCTTTGAGAAGCCCAGTCTGGGACCGCAAGGTTTCGACGCCCTGGCCGGATGCTTGATATCTTCCGATTTTTCCTGCGGTCACATTAAAATATTTGTTGAAACAATTTTGACGGAAAAAAAGATTATTCGAATGACTCGCGATGTTTCTCTGGGGCGCGCTTACTCAGGGTTGCCAATTTTTGTTTGAATTCTTCGGTGAATTCCTCGCGAGGATTGCAGGGCTTAGTCAAGTTCTCCTTTTTTTCTGTTGGCCCCGATTCTGCTCCTGTTTCCCAAGCTAAGCAAGATCTGTCGAAGATCTTGGAACTTTTAAGGAATATTTCTTGAAAATAACACTTATTAGATTTTTGTCAATTAAGTTACTAAACTTACTCCAGCGTATACTCACGAAGTGTACTGCGCTCAAAAGCACTGGTATGACGTATACGAAACATTTATCAGGTTTTGCGCTTGAAATGATTTCCTTATGAGAGAAACAATTCATCGAACGTGCATATGCGGTAAACGGGTATAGTGTAGCGATAAGCGAAATACTGACTCTTACTCCAAATCAACGTAATCTACCCGAGTGTGAGAACCTGCTGCTGAATATTTCGCGAGGTAAATTGAGTGTTTTCCCTTGATTCATGTACGGGTCTTTTTCGGCTCAAAATTTCCAAATTTATGCATGTTTGCGTTTGTGTGAAAGGACGACACAAAATCGGATTGCGGCTTATGTTCATTTAATTACAGTTCTGAGTTTCTTAATCATCGATTATGCAGTCGAGATCTCGTACCTATCCCTGGAAAGTTGTTACGTTACGTGTGTCCGCGAAGTTATCCAGGGTAGAGAACTTCTGTTTGCCGTAATTCCGAACAGGGGAAAAACTTTGACTCAGCTTGCATTACTTGCATGATATATTCTCATGTTTTTCGTTGAATATATGGGTTGTATCGGAGAAGTTTACTTCTTAAAGTTGAGATTCAACCGTCGAAATCCCGATTTTGTGGTTGTATTTGAACTTCTGGAACAGTACTATAGACGCCGAAGTCGGGCCAGCAGGTTTTGATTTGGATTCATGAATCGCTTGTGCCATGGAAACGGATTGAAAAGTTTAGTGCTTCATATTCAACGATTTCCAGTATTCCAGTTTCTTCCTCCGTCTCATCCCGAAAACGATGTTTCAGAAATTGTTTAAATACAGTAATACGAAAGCAGCGAGTGTGTTCAGAGTTTTCTGTTTATCCGGCGAGGAATAGCTTTTGCTTCCGGGCTTTGGAAGATAAAATATTCCATTCAAGCGTGTATATTCCGGAAATGGTGTTCCTGTAGCGGGATTCACAGTTAGATAGAAAAAAAAGCAAGAAGAACTTTTGCTTCGCGGTTCTGGTTATTTCGCTCCGTGCTGTCCCAGTTTAATACCTTGTGATGCTTATTCACCTGTAGTATCGATTCTCAAGTGTCGATGCGAAGGAGGCGACGTTCAGAATTCATGCGTATCTGTGTTTATATCTGCGGAAGAGACCGAGTCGTATTGATTTCCGTGGAATGCTAAAATCGCCAGTTTACGTGAAGGATACGGCGGGACTAGATTAATTTCGTAAAATGAAAAAAAATGTTGGCCCGTCTAACATTGCGTTCCTTGATGTTAACATTTGTTGACTTTTTTGGATGTTCCGTGTGACCTCGAGGGTCAAATTTAATGTCGAGTCATTCTGATGATTGCGCTCGACGCCGTGTAACTAATACGAAGTATGGTCATGATGTCCTGCGCTTGCAGAAATCGATTGCTCGATGAAAAAGAAGAACGAACATTTTTTAATCTATAAAATTGACGAGCGATAGAACTTCACGTCATGCAATTTGACTCTTTGCTGATTTTTCAGGCACATTGAACTCTCTTCTCACACCTTGTAGTACAGTAATTTGCTGATAGTGAAATCGTGCGCATATTCTTCAAATTGAGATTCCGGCTGAAGTCAACCTCAAAATTGATTTGTTCTCATGCAGAGAATAAATGTATCAAAATATTATGAACGTTGCTCACCCATTGCATTTCCGACTGGGAAACTAATGCTGCATGCTTCCGATGCCGGAATATTTCATTTCGTGATACAGTATTTGCAAACGAATTATAGGAACCTCTCAAGAACATCGAATCATAAATAACTCCAAAATATCACTGAACAATTTAAATACAGTACTGTAATGAATTATAGTTTTTCCCGGCTTGCACATGTCCATTTTTTGTTTCTCTTCACTGTTTGTACCGATGAAAATGAATCATGATTTTGGCATGGTTCGGAATATAATAAAATTAGCTTTAATTTTAAACTTGGTAGCTTTAACGGTTCCGCGTATATCGCAGCTTGAATTATGCCTTTGGACATATGGACGGTCTTGATAAAATAATGCGAGAAGGTCTTCGACAGGTAAAATTTTTTATTATCTGGCTCATTTGTCAATTAGATGAAATTTTCTTTGCTGAAATTCCAAGTTTCGCGCGTTGAAGGGGATTAAAAATGGCGGGGCTAGAATTGAAAAGATCTGCGAATGTCAAGTGATCTACTTCATGTGGTGAATGTTACAAGGTATGCTGGTCGTGAGAAAAATTTCCGACATTCATCGTTATTTCAATAGAACGTCGGAACGGCCACATGACGCTTCGTTGTCTGGTATTCGTCCTGCTCTTTGTTCTGAATGAAAAAGAATTTAGCCCCGAGAGCCTTTTTTTTTTGCGGGAAAGAATCTGGAGCGCGTCTGCCAACTACTCTCATTGTTCCTGAGGGTACCATTGAAGTCGACTGTTTGCGAGATTAGAACTGAGGAGGAAGATTGCTCCCTCTGATGTGCCAACTTTTTTTTTAGCATCCATCCGGTCCCTGACGTTTCCTGACATTTGGAGCAGCCAGCGTGCTCGCTCGCCGTTTCTCGTAACGTAAAATGCACGCATCGTCAAATTCATCGCCTCTCTCGTTTTCCTACGAATGAGCTCATTGATTTTCCATGGATCTTCCGCAAGCTACCTTATTTGCTGATGGATGATGCGACGGTTAGCGCAGCAGTGACGTTAAGGTTGTCGATGTTACTTCGGGTTTTCTCTTGAGTATCTATTTTGGCTCGTGTGCTCTATGTATTAAACCTTAGAGAATGATGGGGCCGTGGGTGCGAATTAATGGATGATTCAGTGGCCCGGAAAGTGATTGTGATGGCTGTGAGAGTTGGATGCATAAGGCGAATGCATTCAGCTAATGTGTATGTCAGTATACGCAGCGTTGGAGTGCTGTTTCAGGTATTCGGGGATTGAGCGAGAAGTTTCATCATTTTTTCCCGCGCTCATCAGATCATTATGTTGTATCCGCACAAATAAATATGTTTCCTCTCGTAATTCATCAATGCGTTCGACAAATCACTCCTGAAATATACATTAATTCATTGTGGTATCAATATACCGTAATAAAGATGTAGTGCTCAAAGATGGAAGCGAATTCAGTTCCCATCTTTGTTATCGATATTTCGTGTGTTTCGCACCCTGATTTTGAGTCCCAATTCGAGTGCGGGGGCATATTGGCTCCGGACATCTTGAAGGAGGTCAAGATTCTGCCAATTTTTCCTGGTGGAGGATGAAGTGCGACGGAATTTGAGACTAACAAGACTTTTTTTAATTAAGGCAAGTGATGGACATCTGAAAGGCCTTCATGGTATGAAGAAAGGAGGAATTTTTGTTTATTTCCATGGTTTTCTGGTGCTGAATGATCCTGTGTGTAGCTACAAATATGAGAGTGGATTTGTCTAAAGAAAAGACTGAACTGGGTTTTTGGAGCATATTCTCAGCACACAAAAAAGGGCGGCTTACAATCTATGACAGAACCGAAAAGCAGAATTGTTGAGGCTTCCAGCAGCTGAGGTGGCTGTAATAACTTCCCTTCGCTGAAGGATCAGAGATCGCCGGAAAAAAAAAGAATCGTTGAACCGTCTGAACCCTGAAGGGGAGATACTGTTTAATGACTAGGGATTTCGAAGGAGTTGCTGAATAATCTTCAGACGATCTATGACTCGGCTTGTTTTTTCGAGATCTTCGGGAACAGCCGTAATGTGCCTCCGAGGTCCCGGCGGAACTCGAAATAAGATCAGACTCCGTCACTTGTCAGAGTTCAGGGCTCCTGCTCCAAGTTACCGCGGACATAAACTCTACCATTTCTGAGGTAATCTGAAGCGATGTGCAACCCCAGGCTTCCGGGGATCTTGTTATTTAGGAGCGCGGTATGCATGTCATTTCCCCGACGGCTGCTTTGTTCCTGGAGTCGCCTGAAGGTGCGGGGTTCCCCCGAAAAGCCCCTTATCGCATGATTCCGGCCTGTGCAAGGCTCGATACTCCGTTGGCCCCGCGGCGCAATTTTCCTGCTCGTTGGACCCGTCATCGCGGGATTTTTGGCTTTCGCTGAATGTAAATTCATTTATTCTACTAACTCAACTGTTTCCCGCGCCGTAGATTGTACGCGGTGGGAAATTGCGTCCTGCTACGATGAATCAGTCCCAGTCTTTGCGCGATCTCTCATTTTTTCATCTGGAAGATAATTATGGTAATGCACCATCTTTTTGAATAGGGACATTCACACTATGTGTTGAGGAATTAATCAACCCAATTAAATCAATTAAAGAACATAAAGAATTGAACCATAGTGCAGTGGAAGAAATGTTGGAAATAATAAGGCAGGGCAATCAGCTGGTTTGCGGCCAGGAATATGTAATTAAGGGGGTACCTTAATTACGTATCCCTAGTTTTGTCTGGTTCAATCACAGTCCACAAGAAATCATAATGAAACACAATACAAAAATAATGCATCACAATAAATACAATAATGCAATACACATTCAATGAAGACAAAAATTAGTGCATACAAATTTAGGGTGCAGTAGTGCAATGCAATAATACAATCAAAAGAATTGGGGTTGAATTATTTGAGGGAAGTTTACAGTAAGAGCTAAATTAAAGGACTGATTATTTGGAAGGAAAAATAGTGGGTTTTTAGAGGATTTCAGCTGTATGCTTTGTTCAGGTCAGCTGACCAGAGTATGCAACTTTTTCCCCACATGTGATTGATGGGAGAAATGTGCATTAAGAAGTCGTGCATCCGGGGAACGGATGCACAAAGGAAAATGGGGCCAGAATTCAGGTCCAGGGATCTGACGGGATTCCCCAACACGTAGATTCTTGGTGCGATCACTTTCCTGTTCTTTCTGGAAGTTTTACCAATAGTACTTCCTGTACCGAATTTTTCAAACATTTTAGCAGTTGGCAGAGCCTGATTGCATATTTTAACGTTGTATTTCTGGAGGAAATATTAATTACGTATCTTGCAGACTTCATCGTCTGTAATTCGAGGAGCTGGAAGACACTCACTTGCGAATTTCCCGGGTTTCTTCTCATGCGAACGAATTGCGATGAAAGTTTGAATTTATTAACCTTTTATGTATTTACTGTAAATATTATTTAATTTGTATTTAATCGGGGGAAGAGCTGAATTTCGCTGGCGTCGGATTATAGATTTCCTGTGCCATTTCCCCGCCATTGATGTTGAAAAATGTTCGCTTTCATTGATCAAGAATTTCGAGAAAAAATGATGAACCTTTCCGAACCTCGAACAGTGCAAGGGACCATGTGTAAATTTGGCAACTTTCTTTTGGGGGTAATTTTTGCATATAACAAAGGTAAATTCAAATTTTAATTTATGTACACGGTACAGTACAGTATTTCATAATTTAGTTTGAACCACTATGGCGATTTTGCTGCTTCAAAGTCGATGAATTTTTCTGTTCTACCCTGTGTAAAGTGATGGAGCAATTTTTTTCATCAGGTTTGAATCGTTTTGATGTCTAGTCTTCAACTGTAGCTTTCCAGATAAAACCTTTAATTATTTTTCTCCTCGCCGATTTCGTTTTTGCGTAGAGATGGAAAGCGGAAGGAATAACGGGATGACGTACAGTATTTGATGATTTTTTGAACGGTGGTTCTTTTTCCTATCGTCTGATTTTCTGGTAGAATGGAATGTAAGCAATCCTATTTTCCCTCATGAAAAAAAGCGTGTGACTCGACAGAGCGTGTAGAATGATGAGACGATAGGGGTGTTCTATACTCCATGAAGGCGCGCGACATTTTCGTCGCCCGACGCCACACCGCGGTGTTTCCTCACGCGATTCACGACTCCTCTTCTGCTCCACATTCCCTGCGAAGATAGGCATCTATCATTTCTTCCAGAGTTTCGCGGATCAGATTTCGGGATGAGTTACACGAACTGTTTGCTACCGGCCATTTGGACGGTCGACTTGCGGGATTTCCCCCCGGAGTTGATAATGATCTTCAAGAGCGTTTCCTATTGCAGGTTGATATCAACAAGAGGCTGTCGCTGCCGGCTGACCTACGGCTGCCCGATTCTTTCATCAGCAAGGAGAGCCTTAGCCCCGTGTTGGACGGACCGCTGACGAGAGCCACGCGACGTCAATCGCTGTCTGAAATCGGATTTGGTCGCATGGAAACCTACACGAAGCTCGATAAGCTGGGAGAAGTCAGGCTCTTCGGTTCAAATGCAGTTTTTACTCCCATTTATTTGCTATTCGCATCCAGCGTCTCATCCCGTCCCGATGCTGACCAATTAGCTGCAGTGCCTCGCAAGACTCCTCGGTCTGAAAGAATGTTGTTTGTCAGCTCGATCCCTGAGTATGCTTTCTTTCTAAGGCTATGCGAACTTCAAACACGTAAGGCTATTGATATTGTGCAGAAATTCCCAACTGGTGATCCCCGGAGCCCTTGTGCTCCGCCTCAGGTTCCCAAGGGCTCCGCGGCTATTCGGTAAAATATAAGAAAAGAATTAAAATATAAAAAAAATTAATCATTCGACGTTCGACCATGCAACGAGACGACCCTTTAAAAAAGGCTAGGTCTACAGCTTCTGTAACTTGAGGCAAGCACCTCGAAATATAATTCACAAAAAAAAGGCCCAACGAGTCACGAAGGTTCAGTTAAATCTTCAGGTGATACAAGAGGTATAAAATGAGGATTTCCTATAACTTGCACGAGGTTCAACATTTAATGAGTCTCGGAATTTTAAAAAATTAGCAGAATTCTAAAAATTATGTTTTTCGTCCTTGATGACGTTAAACTTCATTAAAGTCAGTTTGAAAAATGTTCTTCATTGTATCAGAATGATTCAAATCTTGTTCCATTTATTGAAGCAAGGTTAGTTCCGTTCCCAATTCTAGAGAACTACATTTCTTCTTCTTGAAATGAAATGCAAGCCACTTGTAAAGCAGTACCTTTGCGGTTTACGAAGGCCGCTCAGTTTCGCGTGGATTAAAATTAACTGCCGTCATAGGAAGCCAGTTTACGAAAAGTGGTCATTCTTAAATGAGTTGCAAGATTCTAGATTCATAGCTTGTACTGACTGAATAATCCCGTATATCTTTATACACCGGTTGAGGTTATTAGCATATTGAAGGATGTGAGGCAACGCTGTCGGATTCCGAGAACTCGTGTTGCTCGCAATGTATCATGATCTCGAGCGGTAAGATGCGCAGGGCGTGACGATCTAACGCGTGTGACTCGGCTCATCAAGCGGGGGATGTTGAGGTTGAAGCAGGCGTTCTCAAGCTAGGAAATGAGAGGCTGTTGTGACAGCTGCTTACTTCATGCTAACTATGTTCGGAATATTAATGAGTTCCGAAGTTGCAGCTGCGTTCTGGGAAGCAATAAGTTTCCGGTTGCGAAGTATATATAGGGTTGAGAAAAAGCTTTACCCGCGGTAAGCCAACATTCGAGGTCTTGTGGTCGCGGGTCTTGCGTGTTTTCTGCGTAGGCTGCCGATCGATGACTCGTTACTCCCCGGTCTGATTTGAAATTTTGTACTTCTTGCTCGGATTTTCCACTACCCCGATTGGAACAAATCGAGACGCTGGATGCGATGGTGAAGCTGCAAGGGGTGATCCATAAGTTTTCAGGCTACGGTCAGAAATTCTGTGGAAGGATTTTTTACGAAAAAAGTTGTCTTACCTTTACCCGTGGTCCGCGGACCCGCACCGGTCCGCAGAAATTTGTCGTCGGTCAGCGGCAAATTTAATTTTGCATAATAAATTTTAAAAAAATATTAATAAAGTCTGCGATCCTTGTGTGGAATTTTGGAAGGACAATGGCATTTGAAATTATCTGATGAAAAATAAAAGTTGGCTTTTCTCCTAATAATGCTTCAACTTTTCACCTGCTGAAATACATTATTTTAGTTTTTCATCCTGAGAAACCCTTCTTCAAGCCCACCTTTCAAATTTTCGAAGACATTCCACTGTAGCTGCTTCATTGGTTCTTTACTTAACTTATTCAAAAAAGCCGAAACTTTGTAAATACCCGACGAAGTCGTTTGAACAAAACTTCTTTGAGTCTGCAAAAACTTCATGCTGATCCGCAGAAATTTCTCGGATATTCACCGGTCCGCAAAAACGTTCATGTAAAAAATTTGCGCATCCGCGGGCCCAAAAAGTTCGGGGTACACATTCTAATAGTCTAAACTTTGAATTATTGCATCCTTCAGGGATATCTCTGTGATGTTAATAATAACCTCTGCCAATTCATTGAATTTTTTCTCATGAGAAAAATCGTCGCAATGACCTTCAGTTTTGGACTCGAGATTTCATTCTTATTCCAGCCGGGTGGGCAAACATATTTTTTGAAGTCTAGGGAGGATAGATGATAATTTCCATTTCATGTACATCTCCTGAGGTGGCGAGTGCCCGGTGTCAGCAAGTGTGAGTCTAGAAACTTATGGATCATCCCTCGTATGTTCCTGAACCATCAACTTTCGACGATAGTGGCTGTAATGGCTCTATTCTGGATACAGGGAACGTATGCGACAGTGTTCAAAGGAAAATCGAGATTGACGGATGACCTGGTTGCTTTGAAAGAGATCAGACTCGAGCACGAGGAAGGTGCGCCGTGCACAGCGATCCGCGAGGTTTCCCTGCTGAAAGATTTGAAGCACGCCAACATAGGTACTGTACTGTGAAGTCTGTTTTGCATGCGGAGAAGCATAACTGCATCATCCGCCTTTTTTTTTTCCTTCTTCCTCTTTTTTTATTCCAGTCACTCTACATGACATAGTTCACACGGATCAAATATTGACGTTAGTTTTTGAATACCTGGAGAAAGACCTGAAGCAATACATGGATGACTGCGGTAACATACTGAGTATGAATAACGTAAAGGTTAGTTATTTCCTGGCTTCTCTCGTACGAAGAATTTGTTGGTAACCCAGTGGCGGGGTTATTAGATATTCCTTTTCCAACTTTTGCGAGGCCTGGAGTATTGCCATAGGCGGAGGGTGCTTCATCGTGATTTGAAACCTCAGAATCTTCTGTTGAACGAGCGGGGAGAACTCAAGGTGGTATTATAGTGTCTCTCTCAACTGAGGCGTGGGAATCTCATGTAAGCCTTTGATCTTCTCGAAGCTGGCGGATTTCGGGCTCGCACGAGCGAAGTCTGTGCCGACGAAAACCTATTCGAACGAAGTAGTCACGCTGTGGTACAGGCCACCTGATGTTCTGCTTGGCTCAACGGAGTACTCAACGCCGATTGACATGTGGTACGTATTTGCAGCTGATCTCAGCCTTGTCGAATGTGGTGGAACTGTTTCTCATTGCGGAAGAGCGCCAAGGATCCCTTGTGCTTATGATAGTGCGAAAACAAAATGTGTTCTGGTTCGTATAGTGCGTCGATGAATCCGAGTGTAAATGAAGTGGAATGCCGGTTCCCGACTTTATCTAGCCCGGGGGAAGCGTATATGCTTGCTTCACGGATAAATGTTACGGATATACTGTACTGTGCTACAATTTTTAGTCATTCCATGTGGCACGTGTAACGTTCATTGATTCAATTCCTAAGCGATCGAAATCTTTTCTGCTCGTTGAAATATACCTGCTTTAGGAAAATTGGAGATGCATTTTCCCCGATTAGGTTGACTCTTGAAATCGATGTCTTCCTATAGAATCGTATGAAAATTATGGGGTGATGGAAAAGTGATCCCACTTTCAAATCAGCATCACCTCGTTCGTTTATTGAACTTTTTCTTTCACTGCGCAGAAATTCGAAGCATAATCTGAACTAAATGCCGATCATTAACGATTCGAAGTGGGAATACGGAAACGCATATTGAAAATATGTTTTCTTTCTTTCAATGGTTGAGGGCGTTAATTCAGAGTGATGGACTTTAATAATTGCTGAAATAATTGATTAATGGCTTGGCGAAAATTCGAATCGATGAAAACATTTCACAAGAACGTTGGAAAATTAAAATTCAGCTCTGGTTTGCTGCAAAATTATTCTAAATATCTGCTACCCAAAGTCCCAGCAGACGATTCTGAATGAATTTTCTTCACAGTCGCGTCCTGGGAAATTTTGAAATACTGTTCAGCAATGCTCATTTGTTTGAGTACCACCGCATCTCCGAAAGTTCTTTATGACGACATTTTGCTGCGTCACTTGATTTCATCGAACAGAAATGTCAAGGGAGCTTTATGTATTTTTTTCATTGAATTTTCATTTCAAATGGGTGAACTGTTCGGTTAACTCTATTGAACATGTCTTTGCATACTATATTGTGAAGCAGGTGCTGACGACGCGTCTTATTGGAACTCAGATCCGCCAGGAATATCCGGACATTTTTTTTAGTTTGACTGGTTAAGGATCAAGGTGTATTTTTGAATAAATGACAGCGTTTACAATCCGCGAAAAAATCTCAGGAGGGTTCTGCAATACGCAGATTTCATCAACGAAAGCTTCAAATAATCTCAACTATCGTATTTACTCGAGTACGATAGGCAAAAATTGAGGTGCACGTCAGAGTCGGGCACAAATTTGCTAGTTTTCATCTTCAAAAATGTTCCTCATTTGGAGTTTTTTTCAATTTTTTCGAATGATTCTTTGTTTCGCAGGAGAAAAACATTAATATTGAAGTCACCTTCCTAGCATTACTGTATTTATCGATATTTTTACCGCATTTAGTTTTTATAGTACCGTATGCATTTTGGGAACTGAAAACTAAGGTGTGCGTCATTTGCGGGGATATAATTTTTTTCCTATACTGTATATGAGCTTAAAAACTGAGGTGCGCGTCTTACTCAAGGGCACGTGGTACTCGAGTAAATACGGTGAATGCTAGAAATTTAAAATTCTTAGCATGAATGCGTAAACGCATTTAAAAAAGACTTTTCTGTTATTTAAGCTTCTAATTCGACACTTTTTTTCGTTCGCCAGGATGCATCCTAAAATCTGTTGACGAATCCGTTTGTATATTGCATATTGATGCTTTGTGTGCAGGGGTGTTGGTTGCATCTTCTTTGAAATGGGTGCTGGACGCCCGCTGTTCCCTGGATCGACGATCGAGGATGAGCTGTCATTGATATTCAAGACGCTTGGCACCCCATCGGAAGATACATGGCCAGGGATCTCGACGAACTCAGACTTCTTGGCGTACGACTTCTCGAGTCACAAGCCGGAGCTCTTGATCGACCGCGCGCCGAGGTTGGACGGAGATGCGCTCGATTTGTTGAATAAATTTCTCGTGGTATGTAAGTCCTCGTATATATGCAGCATCTCTGCTCCCACACTTCGTTTAATACGCTCTCTTCGTAAATCCTGTGCTGGTAGAGCACTCGACTAAGAACAAACTGTACCTCCTGCGAGTCGATAGTATTTATCGCTGGTGAGTCTCACGTTAAGCGGTCCCTTGGTGTTTCTCGCACTTGATGCAGTTCATTAATTAATTTTAATCAGGATGATGGAGTAGTACTGAATTCTTTCGGCATCCCATCCATGCGCTGGCGGCGGATTATTAGGTTACGTTTGATTAGGCGAGTTGTTAGGTTGGATTGCAAAGGTGAGTTTAATTAGGTTAATTGGGTTCTGGGATCTGGAAAATGTTCAACTGACTATCAGCATCGACATGAAGTACTAGTGCTGCTTCTAGTTTTGACTCATCAGTTCTGATTCAGTGCCCGAGCGGAACATTAAGACTATTATACTTCGATGAACAATATTTTTTTAGCATTTGCATATTGGCTCTATAAAATCCCATAATTTCCGAAGCAGCAAGTCGACTGAAAAATTTCGATGCACAGCGGTGAATCCTAAGCATTTATTTGTATGATTTTTACAAGCACGGTAACTGTTGTGACACGACTTTTTTGCAGTATGAAGCGAAGAAAAGGATCTCAGCCGCCAGTGCCATGAAGCATCCATACTTCCGATCATTGGGGCCCAACATTCACAAGTTACCCGACAGTAAGTCTTTTTTATCGTTATCCTCGATGCTAGCCTTCGATGCGTGTTTCCACGTGGTGTACTTTTGTTTTATCCTTTGCTCATATCGGACGATTTAACGTGATCAATTCTGTCCTTCGGCGTCAGAATAATATCGATCAAAAGTTATGATAGCGGGATTCTTTTTTAATAAAGCGCTCGTCGTGACATATTTATCTGATCGGAATGAGTCGAGCTTCGTACAGGTATCTCGGAAGATTCTTAAGCTGGCGAAGCACTGCCTTATTATTAAATCATTTTCTGGTCCTTACGCCTCCGCAAACCTGTCATTTCATTAAAGGGGTCCTCGACGGGCCATTAAAACAGTACTCGCTTTGATTTAGTAATACTGCACTTTAATTTGCTTGGCGAGAACTCGCACTTAATCTCAGTGCGTTCCTGGAAGTGCAACCCATGCACTCGGAAAATTCGCGTGACAATACATTTGGTTGTTCCAAGGGAGAAGCATCCGTATTTTCAAGCGAATTTTCCGGACTCCATCTTTTTCCTTGGTTTAATAGCTGGCGTATCCTTTTAAAAATCGCATATTCTATTCATTATAGAAAATACAGAACTTTTTTAATTCCCCGGCGAACAATAATATGCTGATTCAAAAATAGATTTGTTTCTCAATTTTCAGGAGTTGGATGATTTTTTTTCTTGATCAGAAATAAGTGGCTGGAAACTGTTGATCTGGTCATATTGGAAGACATCGAGGGTTTGTTGGGGATTTTGCTTGACTTTTGAGAAGCCTTCCGTCTCCCAATTCTTGTTGAATTTCCAGAGATTGACGGAGTAAATGTAGCTTTCAAGATGCATGGTGCGAGGTGCATAACCAGCTAATCGAACGTGAATGATTCATCCTTGTCAACCCTCGTGTTTTTCCTGGAATGAATCGCATACAAGTTTCGTCTATGTGTTCACCCATTTGTTTTTTTTTTTTCTTCAGCGACGTCGATATTCACGCTGCCAAACATACAGCTCAGCAAAGATCCTGGCCTCGCCGCTGGTCGCAACCGAAGGCAATCCATGCTTTTATGACAACAGAAGAGGGAGGCCTTACCGAGCCTCTTTGAACTTCCAGAGCGTCTCCTGCTAGACCGGAAGATCTAATCGTCAAATCATCTCCAGGAATCCTGCGTCTCCGTCTGAGCCGTCCGAGGTGTTGAGTGAGGGAAGAGATTGAATTCTGATCCTGGAATTCCCCCGCTGTACCACCTTTTTTTCTTTTTATATCACGAAGTTTTTGTCGAAGTGACCTATACTGTACTTTCAGACTAATCGGTCATTTTAATTTTGATTTTGTTCCGAAAACTGAAAAGTTAATTCTGGAAATCATTTGACGTTCTGACGACGTTCAATTCCGTTTTTGCGCTGCATTTCGAAGAAAGTCCGAGAGATTTGTGAAGTTAAGCGTCTAGGAAGGCCGCGTGATGATGCTTTCAGTCGTAATCGATTCTTGTTTAATGCTTTTATTTGAAGGTGCTGCTCTTTTTCTTTCTTTCTTTGTATCCTTCGGGCGTGCGCCAATTTCTCCCTCGCTGTGCATTGTTTCGGTTGGATCAAACGCTTGGTGTGTGCGATTTCTCCGATTTGGAAATGTGGGCACCAGCGGTTGTCAAATGCTTTCATTGCGTGTTTGGATCGCATTTTGATTCCCGATCCTGGAAACGGTTGTCGACAAATTTTGTTGTTTTTTCGTTGTGTACGATTTATTGAGCTTCTCCAGACGATATTTTGAAGCGGATGTCATGGTTGCTGTTGTCTTCATTGTTCCCTTTCACGACAAACGCTCTTCGTAGCGTGGCACATGATCCCCATTTTTCTCGGCGCGTGTCTTACATTCCATGCCCATGATGAAGCGTTTCGAAAAGTTTTTTGCGGGTTTAAGGAAGATCAGGAATCGCACTGGAATTTCGTCTAGGAAGGTATCTTAGACTTTGAGTGTCGAACATCTACGAGCAATTATTTCGTACCTTCACTTCAGAGAGTGTATTCTATTTGTTGTACCGGTAGTTTCTGAGGAAGAGAAAAGTGTTTATTCTTCTCGAAAGCATCCCAGTAAAAATTTCGTGTGGACGGTCGTTGTTGCGGAAGTCAGAATGGAGTTCATGGATGTGCTCCCTGGATCGTGTGTAACCTAGTCTCTTGGTCGAACCAGCGCAAGAATCTTCTTGATTTTTTTTCTGACGATTTTGCGAGTGGATCGCAGAGCTGGTTTTGAGGAAAGAGTTGATTTTCTGCTTGGAGTCGTTCGGAAATGATTGATTTGTGACATTTTGGTCGCAGGGATGGTTCGCGCGCCTTGACGTCGGCTTATGATCGGCATTGTCTGCATGTTCCTTTGCCGTGGGCGCGCTATGTTCTGTTAACCTCCAAAATGTGTATAAAGTATGAAAGGAAGTCGTCGTATTTTCTCAGATTAAGAATCTTTCCTGGGTCGAAAGTTTTCTTTTTTTTATGGGAATTTTTCAGCAGGTTCATGTAGAATTGGACCCCCGTTGTTGCTCTCGGGGGTTTCCGGGTTCCTCGTTTCTCTTATTGCAATTTGAGGGAGTCATGTGATCTAGTCTTTTGGGCTACATCAAGATGAGAAGAAAAAGTCGAGGAAGCGATTTCGTGATTCCTGGCGCAGGCCCAAGATAGGGATGCAATCCCTGAAAATTTTTTACTACTGCACAGGGTACAACATTAAGTCCTCTGCAATACGAAGAGGTTTTCAAGCTGTTCTTGGGTCGCGTCCTCATCATGGAAATAACGTACTCATTCCATGCGTCAGTCAATATAATTTTGTTGGTCTTCATGAATTGACCTGAAAATCTGGAATCGCTGCATTTACGACACAGGAATTTCTTACTGGCTGTGCATCAGCGCTGCATGATGCAATCTCAAATGCGGGAGTGCAATTAATCGTAATCTTCTCGAGCATCATCAACGTTTTTCTGCTGTTGTGATAATTTTCTTGTACGTTATAAGTACGAGAACCTCGCAAGTTTTACCGTCACTCTGCGGAATAAGTCGGTCTGTTGATGAGCACGTTTTTGCACATTGTTTGATCAAATTTGGGTTAAGCTGCTTGGGCAACAAGATTTGTTTCCGATAACCAAGGTAAAGTATATACAAACGTTTCGATGAATTGCAATTCATTACATCATTCGACTTCCAGCATAAACTTGTATTTCATCGCAAGTAAATTAATGTGAAAACTTGAAAAGATAGAATGAACCACCCCAAGTTCCTGAAACAAAACTTACAAGTGCTTTGTCCACAAATTTTATAGCTGTGCAGATCGAGAGCGTCACCGTTGTAACAGAACCTCGACCAAAATGGCAATAAATTGCATTGGCGTTGAATTATGGCCGATTTTCTGATCGTTCGAGGAAAGAACTGTAATTTGGCAAAAAAGATTGCACGAGATTTTACTTTTTATTACTGTATACAGTACCATACAAGAATACATAAAGTTTTAAATGCCAGTCTTGCAGGCCCGCATAATTCTCCTCAATCTTAAAGAATTATTGTGTGTTACTCGGTTTACGTACTTTCAAATTGATGATGAGACCACCATGTGTAGGAATCCAGACGAATTGCTGCTAAACACGGGCGGCGCCACGCAACATTCGTCCATGATTATACACAAGGTATGTAAAAATGTTCAACTGGGTTACGAGATATCTATACCTGAAAGTGTGCAAGGGCTTTCTTGGTGCTGGAAAGGACTCGATTATTTCGATTTATGTAATGCTGATGCATTTGGGGGGGGGGGCGTGCTGGGCTTGTAGTGACACCTAGACAAGATGAGTATATCATAAGATCGCAGTGTATCATTTTTACATGACGAGGACAGGAAAAGAACGAAATTCGACCGGACAATCTCGGTTCAACATTCTCTGCCAATACTGCTGTATACGTGTTGAACACACCATGAAAAATGCCGGCGTTTATACTGTATCACAGTACCTTATTCCAATGTGTGGGGGCTCGGGTATTTATAGAAGAGATCGATTAGAAAATTGAACATATTTTATTGGTGAAAGTCGATTTCACCGACAAAATTGTCACTCTAAAAACCCCAGAGCTTTTTGATCAAGGAAAATTACTCAGAGTGCAAACTTCTTCGTTCATTTCTTTAAAAATGCTGCCACACAACAGTGTTGAAGCTTACTTCGGATTAGCTAATGTCTTCATTAGTTACATTACGCAAAAATGCATCAAGGTACCTAGGTGAATTTAATATTTTAATCGGCTTTTTCTCCAGACTCAGTCGCTCTGATGATCTGATCACATACAAGTACAGTATATAAAATTTCAAAAGCTGTTGCAGGTTGTGAACCAACAAAAGGAACTTGTAACGCATATACATAGTGTCATTTATGTGGTCCTCATACTCCTCACCGAACTATTTACTGTATATGTACAGTAGGTGAGGGACGATTATTAGGGTACTCCTTTTCAATTACAACATTAAAAACGGGCATCCGATCACATTATATTTCATGCAGCAGTTATGCACCATGTCGGGATGCTTCTCATTTGATTGAGGAGATATATAACTGTACAGTATATATACATATTGCATGTAAATTATACTGTACCACGTATATTTTATCCTGAAGCACTTCCTTCTTCGATGCAATATTTTTTGGCTGGTTTACTTTCACATTTTTTTGCGGTCTAGAGTCGGTGGCGTGTACCGTATGCATACCAGCATGCGCCAATTTCCGAGAGTCCAGCAGAACTGACCTATTACAGTGACATCTGATGGAAAGCATCGAAATGTAGCCATGCAGTTCGTTTCTTCGGAACAGATTCCTCTCCGCAGTATGGTATGTGATACGTCGACAACTTCTTATTGTTTCCGTGGTTGAGCTCAATGAATTTTAGCTGTTCGGAACGCACCTAGTTTAATTGAAACAAGTGATGGATAAAATACAGCAATATCAGCCCCGCCGCATGAAATCAAGTGAAGGACCCCGAACGAAGCATTTGAAACGAAGATCATCCGTACAGTCGAATCATGATCAGCCCACAAACATTGGTCTCAAATCTCAACCATAAGCAGAAAGGTCTGGTAAAGATTATAACCACCAACCTTGCCTCTTCATTAATATTTTGACCTGATTAACTCTGACAGTGGATCAAACAAATTTTACTGAAGACCAAAAACAAAATCTATGATATGATATGCATCAACAGGTCTTTGGACAATAAGATGGTTGATCATTTCATCTATTTGTGCTCAACCACCGAGCAGGTCTTTGAAAAAGTCAAAACCTTTTCTTCTATTGTTTTACTTTGAAAATATGAAAGTTGATTAGTGGTATTAACTCATACAAAAGACAGAGTAGTTGATACGGGTGGGCTTTTTCTCTGTAGTGTAAAATGAAATTCAAGGGGCGGTACAAATTCGTCCTACTTTTGAGAAACCCTGTAACATGGAAAAGAACCCTATGCTGGGGCATTCGTTATTCAGAGGAGATCGTTGTAGACAAGATCATTATATACTGTATATATATACACTTATACAGTATATAAATAAATAAATAAACAAATAAATAAATAAATAAACAAATAAATATATATATATATATATATATATATATATAAAGGTGTCTTCTTATCGCAAATCATCAAGGTCAAGCAGATGCGTCTTAACATTTTGTTCCTAATTTCATCGTTTTGTTTTTCATTTAAGCTCTGAACGCATGCTGCTGCTTGAAAAAGCGGATTTAGTACAAATACCATTTACTGTACTCCAGCGACGTGCGCCCTCGCATAAGACACCCCCATTGTTATGCCGTTTTTAGTGAAAAATGTTTACAACTTAAGAATAAAAAGCATCAACTTATATTCAAATGAGAATTCATTTGTATTTGATTTGCTTCTCTTTCTCAAGTTTTCTTCGTCACCGTGATGCAAGAATAATGCCCACAAAAAAGTTCGTACGCCAGGATGTGGCGTACCCCACTTCTTGGGGGGGGGGGGGGGGGGGGGGGGGGGGGGNGGGGGGGGGGGGGGGGGTGGGGGGGGCGGGGGGGGGGGGGGGGGGGGGGGGGGGGTGCAGGGATACAGGAGTATATTAACACGGAATTGCAGTATCGGAATTTGGAACTCCGAGCTAGATATTTGATTGCTATTTGTAGCTGACGAGGATAAAATAAAATGTTTTTGGAATCATAATACTGTATCTGGTTTTTATTTGTTTCTGCTCGATTTTCTTTCATTACCTCCGGATGTTGTACCTTTAAAATACGTAATGTTTTTTTTTACAACCACTCGTCGAAATGATATAGCGCACGCATTGGGTCTGATGTCACGTGAGCTGCCCAGCACAAAAAGTTGGATCGAAATTGGATGAATAAGCTTGATAAAGGAGGAATACGGTCAATGGGAATTTCTTCACAAATTTTCAAGGAAGAGAGCTTTGTTTCTGTAGACCCAAATACCTTCATTCAATTTTGTTAATTTTTACAAGTTTTGAGCCAATCGGAAAATATCAACACACACTGTAATGCTATGAAAACTTCGCATAAAAATCTTTGCTTTTAAAAATAAATGTACAGTAGTTCAAAACCTTATAGATTTTTTAATGTATCACTATTTGCCGTTTTTGGCTTTTACGAGGAAGTGACACATCTTCAGGAAAAAGAGTGGGATGCTTCTAAATAAATACTGTACTGCAAATAATAAAAAAATCGGAGATTTGCACAGTTTTAGTTTTTGATAGGATATGCGTACACAATTTACGGAATAGTAAATGAGTGAAGATGATCTCGGGTAACCGAGACATTCGCATGTTAATGCGCCAATCAGTCTGCAATATCAGACGAGCATAATTAACTTCGAATGCAGGACCTAATCTGGCTCCAGACATGCTTCATTGTCACTCTGTCCATATTCGATTATCGACTAATATGCCGAGTGCCTTGAGTGCTTTTTGCTGACGATACACGCTGTTCCCGCTCCGAGGATGATGACGATTCCGGGAGTAATTTTCCTGGCTTGTTGCGGCGGAAACCCGAGCCGAATGAACACGCGAAGGCTTCTTCAGACCTCCCAGCAATCCCTTGTCCCGGAAAATTTACTCCTAAGGCTTTATGGAGAAGACATACTGGAAATGCGGCCGGATGTGGAATAAGGCTTCACTTGTCGCGATCAATTACGTTCGCGAGATTAGTTCGCGTTGTTATCAAAGCTTTTGTCATTCCGATCGCGACAGAGGACGCATTTCTCCGGCAGCCGCATGGGATGGTTCGGCTAATCAGATGCTGCTCTGGAAAATTATTCAAATCGTCCGCAGCTTCTGCCCAAAGCAGCCGCGGAACATTCGATTCCATCGGATATGAATGCTTTGAATCAGTCACTCATGAATGACTAATTTCTCCCATTGTCTCAAAGTGGAGCTCTTGTAT